CCAGCAAAGAATTAGTCAACCTGTTGAAAAAGTTTAAGAAATTACTGAACAAAACATGGGCAATTTGCACACACAGACTGGGAAATGTAGATGTTAAACTTGTCAATTTAAAAAAATCCCCTACAAAATTGCTCACAATGGACAAGTTTTGGGGACTTATGAGACTGATTATTGGCTTGGTGTAGCCTAGCTATATAGTTTGGCACTTCTGTAATACTCAATTTATTAAGAAAAGTAATTCTGATCATTAGTTTCAGCATGAAATAGTTTTCACAGAGACTTTTTTTGTGTTAGCCTATGAGATTCTTCACTAAAGAAAGAAATCAGTATGGCAGTGCAGTACTGGACATGTTTGAAGTTAGCGAAATTTAACTGCCCAGATGTTTTGTGAAAGGTTTTCAATTCAGATAGTATTTTCAGCCTGGCTGCCTACCAGAAAATAAATACCCTTCAATTTTTCATGCAGGCACGAGAGTTATAGCTTTTCTTCCCTACCCTCCCCCTCAGCAGCGTGGTTTTTGTATTCAAGTCCCATGGTGCCACCTCGTGGCCAGGGAGACAAACAAATGAATAATAAAAATTCAACAAGCAAAACCATGATTTTGTACTAAATACACATAAAGACTTCAGTATGTATCACCACTGTCACACCCGAAGTGTTTTAAGCAACTTGTAAGAAGAGCTTCCCCATAATATTTTTTTCATTATGAAGAAGGCAAAATAAATCCTCAGCTGTCTGCCAGTTCTACAGTTTTGCTTTTTAGAAACACTTCTGCTTATACTGTGAAATCTTCTGAAGGTTGCTGAGGACCTATTAACCAGCAAGTCAGTACTCCCAGCACATCTCAAGATGAGGTAATTTACAGAAACAGTAATTCCTGTAAGATCAAGGAAATCCAATAGATGAGAACCCTTTCCCCTTTTTTTCCAACCAGTGAGTTGAAAGGAACTTCCAAAGCCTGTATTAGAGGGAAAAGCAGGCACAGTTCTGGCACAGAACTTGGTATGTTCGCAGCTCAGGGCACACACTGTTCAGCAAACTACAGTGAAGCATTTCCACTACTCTCCACAGTTCTCCATTTCCAGAATGGAAATGGAGCATAGAAGCTCAGGGTCTCACTCTCTGTGCGATGAGGTACTGAATACAGATGAGACAAAAACACAAAGGTCACATAGGAAGCAACCAAAGCTGAACAATGAAGAAGGACGCTAGAAGATCCTTAAGATTTCCCCCGCCTTCCTTCAACTAGCCCAATCCTTTCTGATCCTCACAGGTGGCTGAGGACCTGCTAGGTCACAGCAATAAGCTGTTTGCAGCATGATCCATTAAGAGTAAGGCTACAAGGTGAAGAAAAATGACCTTTCCTTTTATCCCCCCAGGCCACCAACTGGGAACATTTTAGAGCCCAAGCTCTCTGATATTACCAAGTCAAAATGCTCACACAAGAAAACCACCTCCAGTAAATAATCCTCATCCTCTTCTTGAGTCTCTGTTGGAAGCAAGGCAGGGAGAGCCCTCGGCTTGCTTATGGTGTTCTTCTTCTCATCACTGTCAAGGTGAAAGGCCTTCTAAAAGCTCCATCTCTACTACCTCTTAAGTGAACAGACTCAGATAATGGGGAAAAAGTATCACTGAAAGGCAGTTGGAGAGGGCAGGAATAAGAATAATAGTTTTAAATGATACAGGGACAAAATGTCTCATTTTTTAAAGGCAAACAATGTTTCTAAAGACAGAATTACCTCTTAATGTCTTACACAAAGAAAAGCAATAGGTGCAGAGTTAACTAAATGGGGGGAGCTGCATTAGCCCACTTGGATTGCAGGTTCATGGGGAGCAGCATGCTGAATCTGAACAGCTATGAAAAAAGCATGTCTCTTCAGGATTAAGGATCCATGCTGGAAAGAACCAAGATCACAAGTTTTGTCTAGATCAGGAACACAATACCCTACATGTACTGGATATTTTGGCAATTGTTGGCAAGACTTTGCCAAAATTAAATTGAGTAGGTTGCAACTTAAAAGAGTTTGGGAAAATACTTTTTAAACAATTTCTCCCAGCAGCCCAATCTAAATTCTCCAGGTCAGCAGAAATAATAATAGTAATTTAAACAACTGGAGAAATTTAACCCTTTTAAGCCACTAATTACCTCCAAATATATAATTTACTCATCATTTTAGTGACTGGAAGAGACCAGTTGCCACTTCCACTTCTTCCATTCCAAATCAACCACCAATAATGGATGTGCGTGTTTGGGATCAGTCAATTAATCAACTAGCAGTAGCATCAATACAGATCACAGCTATTGATTTGGACACAATGAGAACGTACTGGAATAGTCAACGGACCATTCCAAAGAGAAATATACCCTGACAACAGAGGTGAACGCTTAGTTTCCCACTGATGTTTACACGAGGAAAACAGCACACTATACAGGAATATACAGTGCAAACAAAACCAAAACTCATTACCACAAATCAGCTATTGATAAAGCAGATGTAAATCAGAGCAACTGATAGCCAAAGCAATGTGGAATGCTTACATTGCCTCCAAGAATTGATACAGCCTGTCAGAAAATAAGGCATGGGAGTTTAGATGGAAACAGAGTCAGATTTAATGAAGTATGGCCTCTATAACAAGGCTTCTTTATTCTCATTTAGTCTTTATAAAGCTGATCCGAAGCATGATCAGGCAGAGCCAGTAGCAGTGCAATGTCTTTTTTGTGATTGCCTCTGGATACCTAGCAGGGAATACGTTCAAAGCTGAATTTTCAGAAGTAACTGGTACTGGAAAGCCACAACATCCCATCTGCTACAGAAAAATTTTATTTGCTGTCTAATTTTAATTACAGCAAAGGCAGCTGCAATCTTGCTGAATAGATATTTTCTCATATGTGGTTTATGACTCCAGCACATACATTTCCTGTCCTCTCTGTGCCAATGTAAATCTTATGCCTACTCTCTGCTTCAACATCTAAAGGATCAAAGGAGCCTTTTTTTAGTGCCCGTCCCAGTACAGACAGGCTTCTGATGGTAACGAATAGGAGGGGAGGTACTTCACATTATTCTTAAGTAGTTTGCCAAATAATCTGATGTCCTCTTCCTCCTGGGAAAAAAAGTGATTATACAGACTTTGACAACAGATCTACACACTCCAATGAAGTGTCAAACTATATATATATGTTTTAATATAAATATAATAATATATATTTTATATGTTTTTAAAGAATTGCAGGAATTGCACAGAATGTGGATTTACCAGCAGTACTACAGGGCTAATCCAAGGCAATGTTTATTCAGCCCCTTTAAGTCTGGTACCTCCCTGAGCTGCCCTCACAATGTACTTAACAGCAGCTTTAGTCTTCATTCAGAAACTGACTTATGCATAAGGGACATTCTAACTTTAATTGTTCAGAAGTACGCAGTGCTTTCATGTAATAAAAATCTTCTTAATCGTTTCCCTTTGGAACCAACTCTGCACTCAGCATAAAGCAGCAAGCAGCATTCTATTTGCCAGCAAATCGAGCAGGGTCTCAGTGAATTCAGCTTTGCAGTACATACACTCCTCCTGTTCTCATTACTGTAGTTACATAAAATGTTAAAGCTGTTTCTTTAACAGCTCTAATCAAGAATAGCATTTTCCTAGTACTGACAAATTACCATGAGTAGCAAGCGTGTATTCTAATACAAGTTAACATCTGTAGTATCCAGGGCTGAGATTATCAAACACTCCAAGTACACAACTGCAGTCCACACTGAGTGACACAGGTAGGGATGAGACAGCATGCTTAGCCTTTCTGTTTCTGAGTTGGGTACAATAGGATAGCTAGGGGATTCTTTAAATCGCACGTTACCAGATAGCCTGGTATAGTCAAAGCTGGTTACAAACACATCAACTACAACTTGCAGACCATGCTTAGAACAGTCATGTCAGATCCAAGCCTTAAACAGACATTGCTTTGCAAACAATTTAGTTGTTTAAAGCAGAGTTCAATCATCTCTTTTAAGGCTGAGTAAAGATGGCACATGGGCACATTTGAACAGGCAAACGTAAGGCTGGTGAATAGGAGCTGGTGTGGCAGTTCCAGACTCAACCCTGAGGAGCTTTTGCTTTCCAGAGCACCAAAAAGCCAGTTTCCCCTCTGTGAGAAGTTTCTTGGTTCCCACTGAGATTTGAACCCTCTTTCTGGTGTTCGCTCTACTCCTTGCTTTCCTTCTGTTTCATGCTCTAAGCAGCATCCTGCTTTCTCCAGATACCCTTTTTTCACCATTATAGTTCCTCCTTCAGATCCCTCCAACTCTTCATAAATGAGGAAGAAGCCACTACCAGTTTAAGCCCTGCTGTTCAACGAAGATATAGTTCTCCAGACAGTTCACTAAACCTCTTTCCACTCAGCCCCTGACCACTATTTTGAGATGGGGTAAGCTAGTGCAGAGCATTCCATCCTACAAGCAGGCAGTACCAGGTATTTAATCTCCTTGGACTTGCCTTTATCTTTCCTTACAAAATTACTTGTACCTCCTACTACAGTAAACTACTGGGCAGAGAGTAAGATGTATAACATGACACACAGCCAACAGGTTTTAATAAGAGTCTGCGTGAGGAAAAATAGATGTACATTTTCAAAAAGAAACATGACTCTAGAAATAGCTGGTATGTGATAGCAGAAAATAGTTAGACAAGAAAATAAGCAAGGAAAAGGGATATCAGATTTACAATAAAATTGGTATGGATGAAAAAGTGATAAAAATTCTGGATAAAGGGAAAACACGGGAAGATATGAGTTCTGCATGTTTGGTGGCAGTAATTTCAGAAAGATAGCTAATGACACTGATCCATTTCCAGGTGCTGTAAAGGTACACAAGTTGCGATAAGAAAACGGCCACAGGAAGATAAATCACAGAAAAAGAACAACGTATAAAAGAAGCGTTGTTTGAAACAGGTTAAGCATGCTCTGCTACAGACTTATCAGCTAACTTTCCTCTACCTGTTCATATTAAAGGTGATGGATTCACTTAACACCACAGCACAAAAGACAGTACTGGAACTGGCCTGAGAAGGACCCTTCTGACCTGACACCTGCACGTGGAAAGGTACCGTGGAGAGCAGATTTTACGGCAGTTGTCCTATCCAAGTGATTTAGAAAGTGTTACTGTTTTCTTTGCTCCCTGCAAGATCTCTATTTTTAAGAATCAATTATTTTCGAAGGAGCAGGTGGCAATTCATTTTAGTGAGGATATATTATCATATCCAAGTAAGACTGAGCTCAGCTGCTTTTATCTGCAAGCATCCAGTAGCATGGGCCGGTTATTTTGGATTACAACACTTGAGAGCACTTAGAAGCTTTTGTTAGAAATAATAACAACTTGACAATAATGCTAACTTGATCCCAATCTTACATACCTCAACTTTTTTATCCATATTACTTTTTAATGGGATAGAATAGAAGCAATTTAAACAGAAAATTAAGTAACGCTCCCTGCTGGGGTTTGCCCATATTCTAAGAGAAAACACTGAACAGCTGCCCTAATACCAGAGCTGACATAGATGCAGCATTATAAAACTATTGCAACCAAGAGCAGACTGCTTTTTGTTGTCTCTCTCCCACCTTGCTTCTTCCAACATTAAGAAATGCAATGCAAATATATAGGTCTTCAACAGGTGCTCACTATCACTATAAAAACCCTTAAAGATAACCAAAAATTTGATTTTGTTAATCTATGATCTCCATTAGGTAGTAATAATTGCAAGCTGGCAGTTAGTAATTTAACTATGTAACTTAGTCTACTGCACACTCAGTGGGAAAGAAAATAAGTGGATTCCTAGTCACTTCAGGAAAAGCAGAGTGTTTTCTGTTCTCAAGTGACCATTCTATCTGTGGCAATGAAAAATATACTGGTTATTGCATATTGGGCCCACATCCAACAACTGTTAGATTAGCAACATTCAATTGCCTAAATGCCTTAATTAAAGATTATGAACCAGTGAAACCCTCCCAAGCACTACAGTGGTCTCAGCTGAAGGACGAGAGTAACATACTGAAGCAATTCAGTTCTCCTGCTACAGTCTGAGCACTATCAGTAGAGCTGCCAGTTGTTATCCACAGTGAAGTAAAACCCAGAAGTGCAAGGCAGCTTTTGTTTTTACCAGCATTAAGTTTCAGGTAGCTGAAGCTTCAAGCATCACAAGCCCTCTAAATATTAGGCTTAGAGAGCACCACTAAGTTTGCACTGTATTTCAGAACAGGTACTAACACAGCGTATGTCACTAGGCATGATACTCACTGCCATACCCGACCTCACACACGGATGGATGACGTTGCGTTCATTTCTCTGTCACATTTGCTAGGAGGACTAAGGCAGCCACTGTCACAGCTCCACATGTGTTGTTACATCACCAGTCACAACACAGTGCCTGGCTTCACAGCACAGAAGTTGCATGGCACTGTAAGTTACTGTTTGAAAATAAGCTTTCTTCAGCAATTTTAGTACTGTACTCTTTCAGTTAGAATAGGCTAAAGCATTCACTGTCACATGAAACTGCAGTGAACACCGGAACTTATATTATAGAAATAAGGATTAAGCAGTTGCAAACAACAAAATTTGAGTTTGCCTAGCTGAAAGCCTTCCTCTCATCACATAAAGATGCAAATCTGTCCGCTACAGAGACAAACGTTAAGATAATCTGTTTAAACCAATATTTATCTTCTGATTTTCAGAGCAGTTGCTGGCTAGTGCTTGTAAGTTCTTCTTTTTCTAATCTAGTGTTAGCACCAGCAATACTGTGCCCTGACCTGTATGCTCACATCAAATTACTGCACTCAAAAGACAGCAATTGAGACCTAATTTGCCTTGAAAATACATCTTATCACCGATGTTAATACTGCAGATGGTTAATTAGAACAAGGTCCAGCACTATTTCTTTCAGTTATTCATAAGTAGGCATGAAAGTAAACATATGGACATAATGTTACCTCCACTGATTTTGTTTCAAAGACTCACAGGACTCAAAAACTATTTTTGAGTGGTTTGCATTATTCCTTTCACATGCTTGACTTAAGACTTACAGACCTTCATTCCTATTCCACACTTGGCTGTAAGTCAGCAAGTGCAAGAGCTCCATGGTGCTGAGATCCAATAAAACTTGACAGATGTGCACTCCTACAACTAGAGATTACAGCAGCTATAACACTAGAAAGAGAACTGCAGTTAAGTTTAATCGAACTGTGATTTTAACGCATCCACAAGTCTTCCATTGCTTTTCTTCTCATAATCTAGCATTGTATCCCATTTGATGTATAGGATACCAAAAGCAAAGGTAGCAATTAGAAATCTAGTGATGGCCAATCATTTCTTACTGTATAGTTTGGTGAATTCTGTCAAGGTTTTATAATGTCTCACCTGTAAATGTTAAATGTTGTGGAACTTTAGAAAGCCCATGCTTTAGTTGTGGACATGTCTGTAGACATGCAGTATTTCATACATTTCTGAGAGCAGTCTTATTAAGTCAACATTTACTTGAATATTCCTATGTGAAAAGGTTAGCTTTCCCAGTATAATCCAGGGGGTTTTGCCTTTAATGAGAATCAGATGAGAACTGCATTACTGCTAGCAGTTGAAAAGAGCCGTGTCAGCCAACTGCACATCAGTATATAGACAGTCCTGTAGAACTTAACATCACACACCTTAACTATTCCAGGGGCTAGAATTACACTGACTCACAAGTTTGCACCCCAATGCAAAATACATTCTTGTGCCTTCAAGACAACAGAAAAGCATAAAGATGTCCCAAATATCTTCAGAAAAAGAAACCCTAGAAGCGTTTGGCCACCTCCTTTGTTTCGAATTGCACATTACTGAAGCATCCCATTTTAGATGTCATTTGGCACATTCAGTACAATGTAAGTCTTACATTTCATCTGTGCATAGCAGTGAAACAGTTGAACTTCAGAGAAGTCGTATCAAAAGCAACTTCAGTAGTTTTAGTTACCTGCTTTGGCAGACGAGCAGCAACTTACCAGCCCATTCTGAAAGGCTGTGCTTTTGTAGGAGTGTGGAAAGGAGTTCAGTCCTCCACTAGATTTAAAGTTTTATTTATAGGAAGTTCGTCACATTAGTCGATTAATATTTACATTTAAGTAACATAAACCAAAACAAACTAAAAAGCCACAATTTTAAAGTAGGCAGACAGACAAAGTTACAGACAGACAATAGTAAAAGTAATAGTGATTCTTTCACTCTGATTTAGTCCAAAGTTTTAGAATTTCTTAATCAGATTAGCAGGAAGAGAAGATTTGTCCAAATCATCGAAGTACGGGTGGTTCAAGGCCATTTTGCCAGAAATCCTTTTTGCAGGATCATAAATTAACATTTTCTGGAAAAAAAATGAAAGGAAACATTTACTCTCTCGTGAAATAGGTACTCAATGTTAAGCAGATTAATATATAATCATAGTAATGATCAGATGACTAGAAATAACCTGGTGTAGAGGACCTGCTTTGGCAAGGGGGTTGGACTCGATCTCTGGAGGTCCCTTCCAACCCCCTACAATTCTGTGATTCTGTGATAAGTTCTTCCCTGTGTTCCATGATATCTCATAGAAGTCATTCCTACTTTCTCCTACAAGTGAGAATGGCATTAATGTCTAACATCCCAAAGTGAAAAACCATTTATCCACAGCCCACACCTGTATCAGGGTACCGTGTGCAATCAACCGAATCCAGAACCAATTACCAAGCATGAATATTTGTCTCAACTTCTCAATTAAGGGAAGCTGGTAAACCTTAGGCTACTAAAGCCTATAATACTTACATGAATAAGTGTTCATGCACTTGTCTTATTACACTGATAGTGAAAAAACTGTTGTGAAGCTGCTTATTTTCAGTTTGGTGCAGCTGTTCACAGTTGAAATATAGCAACTGTTCAGCTATAGGACCCTGGGTAGGAAAGAAGTATACTGCATTTCTAAAGCTGATGGATCTGGAAAAAAATAGTTCTAAATCATGCATTTCTTTTCAAAAAAGTAATTTTATACAGCTGAAGAGCTCAATAATGAAGTTGATGAGAGAAAATACAACGGATGCGTTCCCCTCTAAAATAGTCCTCAAAACTTTCTAGAAGAGAGGCAAGATACTTGCTTTGCTATCCATTTAAGAAAAAATAAACAACCACAGTTTATATTGTGCAATCTGGCCAAAAAGAAGGATGAAGCTACCCCATGCAATTGTATGCTCACATGTAGACAATTCAGATGGAACTCCTGCAGTCCTCCTTCCAAGCCTTACAAGGTTACACAGCTTTGGGACAATGCTAAGTTTTCATATCTAGCATAATCCTAAAATACCCTAAATTGTAACATTTTAAAGCTAGCAAAATCCCTGTCAACAGTCTTCCATTTTACTCATCTTTACTAGAGGAAAATACATCTCAAATTCAAAATCAGTTAAGTATTCTACCCTCTTTTAAAACCAGCTGTTTTACATATTGCTTCCATCTTCAACAGTCTACAGAAGTACAAACACTTTCATTGCCACATCTATGCTATTGCTCTATTGCTCTTGTTAAAGCTATTCATTTTTGTTGCCTTTAAAATTGTATCACTTCAGGAAATTTAAACGGATTCCAGATGCCTCAAAATGCAACCATGCCATTGTTAGCAGGCAGCTACAGAAAGCTAAAATTTTAGTCTTAATTCAAGGCAAAACTTTATGTGAATCAATATGCTGTAAGATTAGTATAGTGTTAAGGTCACTTGATTAATGATTTTTTTGTCTGCATTAGTAGCATCCAAAAACATGTTTTTTCCCTATGACAAAGCCACTAAGCTCAGTTCAGTGCTTAGCAGTCCAGTTAAATGACTATCCAAAACACTCACTTGCCTGTTCAATTGCTTTCAGCTTTTAATTAGTAGTAATTCTATTTCAAACTGATTTAATAGTGATGCTATCAGTGCACAAGTTGAGGATAATTACTCTGCAAGTTGGTTGTTTCTGTGAAATACTTCTATGAGCTACAGAGAGCTATCCAAAAAAACTTTAACATCGTTCAGTTTGCCAGCCTTGAACTGTGGCTCTGTACTCAGAAAGAAGTGAAACATTGTAGTTATTTAAGCTCCTTGAGTAATACCACTCTATTGTGCACAATAAACAACTTCTCCTTTATGTCCACTTAAAACAGGAGCCAACTACAATGATAATTGCTGCACAGGGTTCTCCTTGTAACAAGGTGGTTCTGAAGTTCCAGCTTATCTCATGATGCATAGAACATCCCCTGCTATATGCAAATCTGTACTGTGTAAATGGAGCTTTAGCAAAGCCAAGTGATAAAGTCACCAAGGTACATTCTTAAAGTGCACGTAAGCACATCTGAGAATTAATGCAGACTCATCTGCAGCGGCAGCACATGAGCTAAATGAAGTCTGGTGAGAATCTTGTCTAAAAGATTTGGCCATAGTATTTTAACTTCTTGGCCATGAAGCTAAAGTAAATTCACCCTAGCCACAAAATTCAGAAGTTAAAAGTCATTCAACCACAGCCTAAACCTCTAACTTGATATTAAAATGCAATTGACAGAGACCTTACATGCTGACCTAAACAGCCTCCAGTTTCACAGCTAATCAATAAAGCCAGTTGTTTCCATCACTGTATTCATTTAAGACCCCACAAAAGCTAACCAAAATGAGCCAGTCACTATTAGTCCACGTGCCACCACATAAAAGTATTTCCAACTGCATGAATAGTCATATAGACACATCACAATTAATGCCAGTGCCAAGAAGGTATCAGTTACAAGCTTGTAGAAATTAGAAAGTACTTGAAACTACCTGCTCACTTCTTAACACACAGTTTAAGAGAGAATACTTACAGACAACAGATCAAGTCCATCCTCATCTAAGTTTTGGACATGTGTTCCCAGGCTGCCAGGTTTCCATTTTGGGAAAGTATTTTTATAGTCCTGCAAGGATTCCACGTCAGGCCACACATCATTGTTGGGTGTCCCTAAAGCTCTGTGCAAGCATAAGCAAAACATTTGATCAGTTTAGTATGAAAACTGTATGTACTGTTATGATTTTACTAAGTTCACAGCAAGTGAAAGTTTCAGCATGACGTACCTGAAGATTCTGAAGAGCTGATCAATCTCTGAGTCCCCATGGAAAAGTGGCTTTTTAGTTGCTAACTCTGCAAATATGGTACCTATGCTCCATATATCTACAGGAGTGGAATAACGAGCAGATCCTAGCAGAACCTCTGGAGACCTGTACCACAGTGTCACTACCTATTGAACAAAGAATTTTTATTTTTTTAAGGTACATTTATAGAATTAGGTCCTCTAATTGACTGCAACCATAATGGCTCATTCATTACTAAGAGCATTCAGCTTTTTTAATAAGAATAATATCCTGTTTAGACTAGAATCTACAAGTTCCAGTGAAAATTCTTGCATCAAACTTCACTTAAAAATATACAAAATCCTATTGCAGTAGTCTCTAATGCAAGCAAAGCAGTTGCCTGCACTCCTTCACAAAGAGCAGGAAGCACATCTTTAGCACCTAACTGGTCTGGCCTATCTAACTCACTGTCAAGGTAACAACAGTGGCATTTCATAAGATACATTAGCACTTCAGAGTAAAATAGGGTCTGGGGGTTGGAAAGGCACCAAGTAAAACTAAGCTGAAATATAACCATTATACTGTTAGTTTATGACAACTTCAAAAGCTGTGCGATTTCCAGCTTTTTCATAAACAATTGGTACAAGGAAGCTAATAAGCCTCGTCCAAATGACCAAAAGTATGTTCAACTCACTTCATGAGTGTATACCCGCACTGGAATTCCAAAGGCTCGAGCCAGTCCAAAATCTGCCAGTTTAATCACCCCTTTGTCATCTATTAGAAGATTCTGAGGTTTTAAGTCTCTGTGCAGAACTCGTCTTGAATGGCAGAAGACGATACCTTGCAGGATCTGATACAGGTAACTCTGCAGATAGGACAGGGTGAGAGAGAGGGGGAGAAATAACGCGACCTTCATTGAAGACAGTGGTTCTACAACGTAAAGCTGTTTCCTTACATTAACTCTGTAAATAGAATTAGATCTTAAGCGTTGCAATTATTGAGTTCAACCAGAAATCCATACAAAATTGGGTGTTTGAGTTCAGTTCAAGGCAGTTAATTTCATAGTTGCATTTGAGAGCAGAACTTTCTTTTAAAGAAAAATGCATCCTATTATTCACAGCTGCCTCTTCAATCCTTCCTTTTTTCCTCAAAGAAATATAAAGAGTTAAGATAAGAGCAAGAGTTAAGTCTTGCTTATAGCTTTGTAGAGTTCCCTTAATTTTTTAAGTTATATTAAGAAATTATCCTAATTACCTTAACACGTGAACGATCCAAATATTGGCCAGATGGAATAGTATCCAAGTATTTCTTGAGATCCATGGAAAGGAATTCAAAAATGAGGTATAGCCTTGCGTCCTGCATAAGAACATCCTGAAGACTGAAAATTGAGCATACAGTCAGCTCCACTGCAAAGTGCACAGACCTACTGGTTTGCTTTCCCTCTCAACAGGAACACAAGCTGGTGTTTCTAAGTACCTAATACGAAAGGCTTACAAAGCTTTCTCTCAGTCTTCAAAGATTAACAGCCTTAGCAAGTTGCACTGTTGTTTGGAAAACTGCGCATATATGAAACAGTGCCAAAGTGAGACAAACACCCCATATGTTTCCTCTGAATCTTGTATTTCCTCATGCACGAGGCAGGGGAAGTCTGCAGAAAAAAAATGAGTTCTGTGGGTATTAGTGCCTAGCTTCCAGTTGAATCTGGCTTACTATAGCAGAATTACTGGAAGAGTTTAAGGGTTCTGCATTAGAAGAGTAGGAACCTACTAAATGCAGCAGGAGTTGTACAGGTTTTTAAGCATCTCCTCCATCTTCAGTAGATTATAAAGGTTCCTAAATACACACATCATTCACTGGGACACCACCTGGCCGAAACTTGGCCAGTTTCAGGCCACATTAAACCCAAGGTATTTTGCTACATTAAAACATATGTATTTTGTAGGGAAGGCAACAGCTACAACCAATTCTTCACATCAGGCAGCCACTGATGGAAGTTTCAGGCATGGATCAGAAATGCCAGCTGATAGCATTATAGCGCAACACCTACAGCTCTGCTATGGGACAGTAAGGAAGTGCCTGGTGACAGAGGCCCACACCAAGAACACCAGTCAGATGAATAAAAAAAGTTCTGAGATTGACTTAAACAGTTTTCAAGAAGCATTTCTTGAAATGTCACCATTTCTTCAATAACCGTTCTGAAGATAATTAACAGCAATACTTTTGTTCAATTCTTAGAATAGGTGCAGCAGAAGACAGTCTTAATTAAAAACCAGCATGCTGCCAAGATTTGGGACTGAAGTGTAATGCCTGCTTTGCAGCAACTACATTGAATAACTGCTTCCTTGCTAGAACAGTGGGAAAACAATTTATCTGAAGAGACCTAGCGCCCTTCAGAGAGTATGGCTAAATACCAGCGTATGCATACCAGACTATATTGGGATGATGCAGCTCTTTTAATAAAGAAATTTCTCGGATAGCAGTACTTGGAACACCTTCCTCCTCACTTTCTAGACGTATTTTCTTCATTGCAACCACTTGGCCTGTGGTTTTGTGGCGCCCTTTATACACAACACCATAGGTACCTGAACAAACAAACAGGGAAACGCATATAGGAAATACCAGTTTCAGGTGCAGATAAGTCATTGCAAATGAGAACTGCTATATAGGCAAGAATCCTTGCAACACAGTATTCTTAATAGCGCTGAGGGTCTCAGCAGAAAATAAAACTGGGACTAGTGGTAAATTTCAAATTAAAGAAAAAAATAACTATTTGAACTATCATCATTGACGGAAATAGAACCCCCAAAGCAACCAAGCAGTATTCCTTCTCACTTCCTAAAGAATTCCTCACATGAAGCTCTGTCTGGTTTCTTTCAAAAAGAAAGATGCAAGCATGAGGCTTCAGTTACGAAGCACTACTGTAAGCACCAAGCAGTGCACTGCAATTCATCTGGAGCTTCTCAGAGTAATGCACTGCAAATCTTCAAGCATACGTAAGGCTAAAGCATTATGAAAGACACCAATTTCCACATTTGATAAAGGAAGGGCACCCAATGAAAAGGTGGTTGTGACAAACATCAGCACCAGTCTTCTACAATGCAGTACCTTATAGGAAGTGCCTTACATATATATATATAAGCCAACATAGGCTCCCCAGTTAAGTGGTTGAGTCACCAAACCCCTGAATGTGTTTAAAAACCATTTGGATGTGGTGCTCAGGGACGGTTTAGCAGAGGGTTGTTAGAGTTAGGGTAGTATGGTTGGGATGGGGTTGGACTCGATAATCTTTAAGGCCTTTTCCAACCTGAGCAATTTGATGATTCTTTGAAAATTCACTTCTACACACAGGTTCACAGTGTTTCCCTTCCTGTAACAAGTGCCGCAACAGGACATAACCCCAGTAAAAACACCTGCACACTACTTCTCCCTACCAGGGGCTCCAAACAAAAGCACACCCGAAGTGCAATTTCAGGGGAACTTGTAAACAGGTGCAGTTGCAAAGGAATAGATATGTTCCAACAAACAGGAAAGCTGATTTCTTGACTCAGAATGCTTTTACCCTTGCAGACATGGTACACAGCTGACCATCAGTATGAAGGGAGATGCCTCCCAGCACTGATCAGCTGCTTCAAACAGACTGTCACAGAATGGCAAGGGTTGGAAGGGACCTTAAGGATCACAAATCTCCAACCCCCCTGCCACATGCAGGACCACCAACCTGCACATTTAACACTAGACCAGGCTGCCCAGGGCCACCTTCAGAAGAAAGACAGCCTGAGTGCATTTACACAGAGAGAAGACTTCATAGAATGCCGGTACTTCTCTGGATAGCAGGGGGTCACAAAGCTTACAACAGCTGGTAGCCCAAGCCGCAGAACCTTGCAAGTCTCCCGGCAACCTTACTCACCTTCCCCAATCTTCTCTATCTTTGTGTAATCCTCCATAGCTGTGAGCGTGCCTGGAACAAAAAGCCACAGTCAACAGGAATCAACAGGAGGTCCCTGAATGCAGGCAAGTCCCAGAAGTTACACCAGGACCTCGGAATCTTGCATAAAGACTCAGTGTGAAATATTTACCCCTCCTCTCCAAAAAAACGGGGGGGAAAAGCGTTTATTCGGGGATCCAGTTAAAAAAAAAAAAAAAAAAAACATCCCCAAGTACAAACGCGCGCCGAATCAGAAGGGAAAGATGGCCTCTCGAGAAAAGCCACAGAGAACACCGCTCTCGGGAGCTTTCTTAGTTACGCGTCAGCAGCAACGCGCCTCGGCCCGCGAGACCGACGGCTGCCAGCGCACGAGGACGGCAGCCCGCACCTGCGCGCGGCCCTCCCCGTTACAGCTCCCAGCCCGGGGCCCGGCAATCCGTCCCTCCCCGGGTAGCGGCTGCGCCACGCAGGGCTCCGAGCGGACCCCTACCGCCGCCACGGCCCGGCTCCCAACGCGCCACCGGCGAGTGCCGCGGCCCGCTCGCACCGCTAGAAGCCCGAACGGAAGGACCGCGATGCCGGCACCCGCCACACCCATCCCAACGGAGCGGCCGGGCGGCCCCGAGCGCCCGCACCCCCCGCACCCCGGGGCGTCGCGCGGCCGCACTCACAAGCGGCCGCCCAAAGCCGGCTCCCCGCCGCTTCCGTAGCGCCCAGCGCCCCCCAGTCACCTTCCCGCGGCGGGTACCGCGGCGAACCCGAGACGCCGGCGCCGCCGCCCAGCTCCGCGCTTGCAGGGAAGTCCTCGGCCGGGCGCGGGGGCGGGCGCCGCGCATTCGAACCGGCCGCGTCGCGCCGCCGCCACGTCCCACCAATGGCGTCGCGCCGAGATGATTCAAAGCGACCAATCGGCACGCTCCACTCCAGCGGCGCCAAAGCGAGACCGAAAAGCGCCAGGGAAGACCGACGCGAGCTGCCCGTCCCGGGGCACAGCGACCCCAGCTGGCGTGGAGGAGCTCGGCGCTCGGCCCGGCACCAGGAGCGGCGGCCCGAGCCGCTGAGCTGTGGGCGCTGAGAGAAAGCCCGGTCCTCGGGGTGCCACGCCGTAAATCCGTCGCGTCCGGCTCCAAGGTCGCTGATCCGCAACGCACTGCTGCGGCTTGTTTAAACTATACGCGTTGCTGAAAGGTCACTGGCCGCTTTAATGCCACAAAACGTACCTCTGTAGAAAGTTAAAGCCCGGTGTGACCGCTCCCAGATTAAAATCAATTAGTCACTGTGTTATAACAGTTTTCAAAGAAGGTCGGGAACTGAAGATGTAAAGCCGGACTCGGCTGTCCCCGTGCTCACTGTGTTGGCGTAGCAGCGCGCAGAAAACAAGAGCTGTGCGGCACTGCTTGCTGTGGGAACAGCCGCGAGCGCGGAGCGGCTGTCCGTGTTTGTTTGCTGATGGCGGGGCTGGAGCTCTGTGGGCTGACACCACAACCCGTGTTCAGATCCCCTATAACTTCAGTCAGAATTCTGCCCCATCCGCTGCAAACCCGTCACCCGCTGCGGCCAGCACCGATTCAGCACGCTCCTAGGGAAGCCTGCAGTCCGTGCGGTACTGAAGTGTAAGCACGGCTGCGCACTGACGAACTCTTTTTTATTGGTTCTCTGCACTGGTTGGCGTTTTTGAAACACAGTGTTGCTGCTTGCTGCTAAGTGTAAGCGGGATGGGCTGGTCTTTAAAAATCCACGCAGCTTTCCCAAGGCGTCTCTGTCAGATGTTGATTTCAGCAGACAGAACTTCTCACTGTGCACTTCCTTCTTTCCCGCTCCTCATGGCAAAGGCGAGAGGCCGCTACTCAGCTCCTCCCCTCCAACATACATCAGTTTCAGCAACAGAAATCCTACGCTTTCCCCTCCCTCAAGGGGAATTTTTGCCTCTGAGAAACAGGCAGCACACATACCATCCAGTTTTTGTTTACCTCGAAGTGTGTGTTCCCAGCACTTGCTGAGATTACCTGCACAGAACAAAGCCGTTGCATCACTTTGGGAAGCCCTGGGCAGAAGTACAGCCTCATATCCTATGCAGTTTGTAGGGTGTGAGTCCAGCATGCTTTGTACAGGCACAGAGAAGTTCTCTCCCAGCACAGCCCAGGCTCAGCAGCGCACTGACTGGCTGCACAGTTGAAGCAAAGTGTTTGTGACACATCCCTCAGGCCTGACTGCACGGCCAGCACAGTCAGCCCATGTGCGCTCAATAGCTTTAGGGGGCTGCACTGTGTATCCAGCACAAGTTAGAACCACTGCTTCTGACTCAGCTGAACTGGTCCTTGTCCACAAACTATAGGAAGGTGGCCAAAATCTTTCTTTCCCTTCAAATGAACATGTGGGAAATCTCAGACTTAACCTGAATTTTTTAGATAGCAGCACCAGCTTTCTGAGTTGCTCCTTGTGGCAATGAGCCGCCAGCCAGGACCTTAGGCCTTCCCCCCCAAACCAGGACCTGAAATGACAAGCTTTGACCTCTTTGACAGTTTTGTGTTGCATGCTTTAGAAACAACCTAGGATGTGCGTGGCTTTAGGATCAGTCTGATGGCTGTTGTGCTCTAAGTCCAGCGTAACAGCCCCCACCACCTGGTCTGTTCTTGTGGCACTGCATCAGTACACAAGTTGTGCTGGCTTAATCACAGGCTAATCAACTCAGGTGTTACACACTCCAAACACAGTGCTTTCTCACTGTGGAAAGGTTCTGCTCAGCTTCCTTGGAAGGCTCAATGCATTAATGCCATGACAGACCTGTACTTAAACTTGCCAAGTATCAGTTTGGCAATTCTGAATATCTACAGTTCTCCTCCCTCCCTGCATTGTCTGGCTATCTTTAGGATACAAAACATCTTCCTTCTGACTGGATATTGCTTATCTCATTTTGATTATTGTTCTAGACACAGCAATAGCTAACAGTACTGCTTGACACAAGCAGTGTGATACAATTGTATTTGCTTTTGTGTTTGAAGACATTTAGTTTTCTGTGTGAAGCAATAGTAGCCTGCTTACAACTGAGTCATAAACGCACAGAGGAGTACAGATTTTGGAATTTCTAAGCATTCCATAGGATTCCTGCTCCCATTTAAAACAAAACATGAGTTCAGATACAAAACTGAGGAAAAACTTGAAGGCAAACAGCAAAGAAATCTAGTTTACCTTGGCAATATAACACAAATTACCATTTTATTTATATAAACGTGCAAAGGGCAAGTATATTTAAATCCACTCTGCATTCAGTTCTTCTCCATCCACTGAAATGCTGTTTGTGCAAGGAATATAGGATCAGACCTACAATGCCAATCTCAGATTATAGTATTACTGTTGTATTCATGGCTAAGACTCCAACGTAATACTCTGGACAACTTCTATTCTGAGTAGAGGACAGCTGCAAGAGTCAATATAGTCTTGTCTTTCCTATAATAATTATATTATCCTCAACAACAGCATCACTGTAAATAAGAGAAACAGTGCATTCTGTCTTTTACACAATGATGGGATTTAAAAAGTTGACTTGTTTGTAAATAGTAGTTAGAGAATCTAAAATGGACTGTGTCCACTGCACTCAAAAGAAAATAAACACTAATACTGACTGGCTTCTCCTAACATCTATTAGATAATAAGGAATTATTTTGTCACTATAACAAAGCAAAAGTACAGTAGGAGTTACTTGCAGCATTTAAGGAAGGTAATATTATAGGGCAATACCTCTTAAACACAGCACTTGTGTGATTATTTTAGCTTGTTAAATGTCTTTTGCTCTGCAGGACAATTCCCACCATCAGCAGATATGGAAAACAGCTTTGCTGCTCTCATCCCATGTTCATGTTTTGACTGCAGGCAAAAACAAACAAGCAAAAAAAAAAAAACCAAAAAACCTCCCAATAAGCGTTTGAGAGCTGCTAAGGGAAAAGGAGACCAAATAGTACTGATTTTCTCAGTTACAGCAGACTTAGGTTTTCTCTGCACTCCTTGTCAGCATGCACTTCTCCCCACACCACCTGCTGCACGGCTGTATCACATCCCGTAGCACATGGGAATCCCAAACCTCAGGCAGGGGAGCACAACTGGAAACGTGCCCTGCAGCGAGGGAAGTTCACTTCCTTCCTTCCAGGTATCGCTCTAGCTGCCAAGAAAGGAGAGATTCTCTTCCAGATGGGAGTGTAGATGAGACAAGGGAGGAAACGAACTCAAGATTTACACACAAGCATCACGCTTACACGCTTAAAAATTCCTCCTGCCATCAGTTGCGCGAACCCATGTGTAGGCTGAGGAAACGGGTCCCGTCCGGAATAAGCGAGATACAGACATTAAAAGCGCCGAGGACGACGACGGGCAAAACTACCGCCGGCCGCTTCGGGCTCCATGCTACACCACCACGGGGCGGAACGACCGCAGCTCCCAGAAACGGCGGCGGTGCCCCTGAGCCGCCCCGCCCGCCGCCGTGCCCGGCTCCACCTGAGGGGGTGGCGGCGACGAGAGGCAGTCCTTCCCGCCGGTGGGAGCGAGCCCGGGACAGCTCTGCCCCCACGCTGGGCGAAGCGAGGTGCTGAGCGCGCTGCAACATGGCCTCCTCCTCCTGCCCCGCGGGACGGGGCGGCCGCGACCAGGTGAGCGCGGGGCAGGAGCTTGCTGATTTCTCCTCCCTTCGCCGACGGCGCTCCCGCCGACCGCTCACAGTGAGCAGTTGGGGACGATCTTTTCTGCTATCGTACGTCCGTCGCGTCTTAGGTGACTGCCGTGGGACAGTGCTGGTGCTGGGCACTCGGCTCCTGCTGCTAAGTGCTCGCGTTCTATATGTGCCGTTGCGGTGTCACGTGCTGGTACTGATGGGCTCGGGGAGTTGTGAGATTAAAAGCGTTACCGCCCTGCCCTTCCCTTTTAGGTGTTACTTTGTTGGTCGCGTGCTTTGGTTAGCACGATGCAATGTACCTGTCGTAATGTTGAGACCTGCTGTGTTAGTGCATTTACTGGTAGATAAATATTTGATGGGTTTCGTTTTCTTTCAAAAATCTCCTCTTTGAGCTTTACAGTGGGTCTGAAAGGCTGTCGCAACATTGGAAAGCAATTAGCTTGCCCTTAAAGCTGCTGTTGTAGCAATGGACTACTTTGCTGTTAAGAATTTGGGGTGTAGACAAGTAGAATGCCTCTTTATTTCTTGTGCTCTTTAGTTCTCCTGCTGTAGTTGTTCTGAGGGTCAGCGAGCTGTGCCTGGGGGTTGCTGGCGGAGCTGTGTTTTGCCCAAAGGTGCTTCCATCTGATCAGTTTACTGAGCTCAGCAAGTCTGGCAGTGTCTAAAACTGGTAGGATGTTACCCTAGATTCTAGAAGTTTAAGTTTATGTATTTCATTCACTGTTTAGTTTTGTGTAAACTTAAGGCCTTCATGGGAGAAGGGAGGAGACAATGGTCTTACTATGTAGGAGAAGAAAAACCCAAACTGTTCAAATAAGAAAGCTGTGTTGTTCTTGTAAGAAAAAATATTTATTGTTTGTGGAAAATTGATTTCCCAAAATAAGTGTTTATGTATGATCTGCAGTACTGTAAAACCAGTCATTGCTGCTTTGAAAAACAGTGCCTTTTTTTTTCCCCTAGTTATTGTAAGCTTTGGGGCATATGACAATTTAGAAGTTTAAAATTTAGCATACAGGTCAGACTGCTGGTGTCTCGCTTTCAGACAGCTCTTTAGTATAGGCAGTTTGCTGTTTATCTTGCTTTTACCCCTGTGTTTCCAACAGTTTCACTTTTTTCTACTCTGAAGTTCTTGAAGCTTTCTCCTGACATACTCTTTCTCACTATTTTCTTCAGAAACTGCACGTTCAGCACTCTTGACAGCATATAAAAACTGACGTGCTGGTGGTGCAGTGGTCAAATACCCACTGGAGGTTATTTTTGCCACTCTGCATTGCCCAAAGTGTGAGCACTTCCCATATATGTTAGGGTTTGCGTGAAGCTGCTGACAGTGGTACTTCTAACCCTTTTGGCACAGCTTTCTGGGTGACAAAATCTGACCTGGCACGTTGCTTTAATTCTGAGGATAAGCATGCTTTTGCAATCTTTAATCAGGCAAAATTTTGTTAGCTCTTTGAACAAGTTTGACAATGACTTGGCCCAAGGAAGACTTTTTTTTTTTTTTTTTTTTTTTTCCCCCAGCAGTTCTTGGCACCTAATTATTTCTCTGGAAAAAGCTGAGTGGTATAGAACCTGGGGCATGAGGGCATTATAAAACACTTGTGTGGGTTCTGCGCAGGATTTCTAAACCATGTAATGTTTGTTAAGTGGTGCTTACAGTGCTGGCATTTCTAGGAAGGAAAATAATAATTTGAAGGTTTGACTATTTCAAAACAAATCCCTCAAAGTAGTTTTTTAACATACTTCTTCCTTAAGATAATAAAGTTAGTTTGGATTCCCATTCCTTTCTTCCCTGAAAATGTGGATAAATCCAGCAAAAATTAGAAATAGAACTTGCTGCCCTTGTGATAACTTGCATGCATTGCCTGATGTCTGGTGCTCTTGCTTTCACATTTTAAACTATGCAAGTGCTTTCATGAATGCATAGGAAATAACAGTTGCTTGCACTGTTTTTTCTCTTGTTGTTGGGGCTTGTGTGGCTGCAGAGAAGATGTGTTACAGGCTGAGAATGGCGGGTGAGGAAGATGATGGGGACAACAGAGAAAATCACTTAAAATATTGACTGGTGCAATAGTGAAGTTCTGAGGACCTTGCTCTGCTTGCGTCAGTCATTGCCCCATTCCCATGAGGGTTTTGTGCTGTTGCAGCCTGTCCCAGTTTTATTAGTATCATGAACAAAACTGTGCAGTGCACTCTTGGAGCAGTGGCTGCAGTTCCTTCTGTACTCCCCCATGGCATCCTGTTGAAATGAGATAGTATTAGCTTCTCATGTTGTTATTTCTTTGGTTGAATCAATTTAAAACCTCAATTTCCACTCACTTGTTGAGGAGAAAGGAGTGTATCATCTTTCCTTTGGTCTCCTTTTGTAACTGAGGGAGCTGCTCTCCAAGGGCATATCGGGGTTGGTGCCCTTCACGGGAGGAATTGTTCCAAGTTTCCATATAATATCTGATGCACGCATCATGAGTTTATCAGTATGTGATGCCCTTTCTATCTGATTATGACTTCAAACTCCTTCCATTAGCTTGTAATGTTTCTACATAGATGTAGTGGGGAGTGTTCATGCACTGAGGCTTTCTCAACCACGTTATTATGCTAAAGCAAGAGCTGGCTGAGTTTCTACACTCATCTTCTGGGTTATTATGTTAAGCAGGTCATGATGACAGCTTATTTTAGTAGGAGAAAGGAAAAATAACATTCTGCAATGACATAGTAGTTGATAGTGTATGTTTGCCATACAGGAGCTTGTTTCTTACACAGTCTTTGTGGGGGCTTCATTTTTGGTTTTAAAATCTGATATAACATCTCTGTGATGTGAAGTACTCATTTTCATTCAAACATATGAAGCTGATTCTTGCTTGTTTTTACCTAAATTTACTATCCTGTATATTTACATTTTATCTGTCACTCTTAAGAGTGCTTGCCTTTTGCTGGTTGTTGATGTTTTTTGGGTGGAGGTTTGTTGGTGTTGGCTTTCGTTGTTGTTTTTCCTGTCTTGTAATGTCATCCTCACTTCTGACCCTGTAAAAGCTTAGTGCAGCCTTAGACTAAAGAGCAGCTTCTGTGATGGCCCTATTTCTTCAAAACACCCATTCAGCTTTAGGATGGGTTCCAAGACAGTCTATCTGAAGTTTCTGGGCATACTGTGCAAAGAACTCCCAAACACAGCAGAGAGCAGATCTGACAAAGCTGAAAAGTTACTAATTAGTTACTAAAACTTACTAATTAGTTCTAGTCTATGTTTTTGTCTTGATGAGATGAGTCTGGCCTATATCTGAACCTAGAGTAGCTCCAAAGTCAGGCTCTTGCAATGGGAAAGCAAGGCCCATGGGTTAAGAAGAAAAGCTGCAGGTGTTGCTGATGGGCAGTTAATTTGGGTGAGATTCTTGCTCGTTATCTTCACTTCCCCTTTACTTTGGAGCTTTCTGGTTGTGCTGTGGAGGAATCCTGAGCTGCTGATGCCTTTGCTTCTGTGCTTCACTGCTTGCCATTGGAGGTATGTGTTCTGGGAACTGGTGTTTTAAAATCTGTTTTGCAATCTTGTGAGTGGGGAAGGGAAACCATACAAGGCCAAGTGACCCAAGCGTGCTTTCAGCTTATAGCTCTGGGGCATAATAGAATGGTAAATACTTAACACAAAAGGTGTGTCAGCTGGCCCTAGTTCTGACTGCATTCAGGAGAGGGGGGAAAAAAGCAAAAAATTCTTAAAAGTAAAAGCCATAGAAGCGTAAGTAGGAGTAGTCTATAATATTGAAAAGTAACAGTAACAAGCTGCCTTCATGGTGGGAAAAGTGGAGAGGGAAAAGATGTCAAAGATGGAAGATACTCTTAACTGTTTGTTAGAACATTTCAGCTGTGAATGTTATGTGCGTCTATAGTTGCTTTTCACACAGGTGATCTAACATAATGTCTACTAAGTTGTGTTGGTTGGTTTTGCTGATCTTTACATTAGGAAAAGATAGAAATCCACAGGGCTTCTGAGTCCCTGGCCTTCTAGTGCCTGTTTTTGTGTTTTTCTTTTTGAATCTGGATTAACATTTCCAAAGTTATTGCTTTGAGTGTCTGCAATGTGGAGCAGCTGCCTGGTGCTTCAACTGAGACAGTAGCAATGGTTTCTTTCTATTTAACCTCAGCCTCTCTAGTATTGTGCTATGTTTCATCACTCATCACATTCACACCACTAAATAAGTTTGTTTATTTGTTTTATTTTGCTGTGGAGACCCATGAGCCTTCATTACCTTATTGGTGGAATTCAGCCCAAATTCTAAGGGCGCAGTACTTGCAGCCTGAGAAGTGGAAGGGAACGACTGTGTCAGGATGTGGACTTGCTCCTTCTGTGACATTTGTTTTTAACAGCAATGACTTGTGCCATGGACATGACCCCATTTTGTAGGTGAATGATCTGTGGGTGTGATTGAATGTTTTGAGTCAATGATGACAAAGCCAATTTCCTCTCTTCTTCCTCTGACACCTTGGTTCTGCTTATTCCTGTTCAAAGAGCACTGCAGAGAGCGCATGTGTCTGTCTGGAAAGCCAAATCATTTCACAGCTCATGACTCTCCTAATGCATGAGTTAGCCTTGCTGTGGGAGAATGGGCCCTGGTGGGAAGGTAGGAGCAAGACACAGTGTGTAAAGGAAAAGCAAGAACCTCCTAAACAGCGTATCTCCCACTTAGAAATTTGCTGTGTGGAACAGTAACAACTGGTGTAGGTTTAGTTCAGTGGCTGGGGAAGTCTGGGCCTTAGCAGTGGGGTTGTCATTAAGTGCTATATGAAGTGGTTTTTATCCAATCATAAAATTAAAAAGCAGTGGTCTCATTATAAAAATCAGATACATGGTACACTACTAACTGAGGTGTTGATTGGTTTGTCTGTTTGTTGTTTTTGCATTTTGAAGCAGGGGAGGATGAGGGGAAGCATGCACATGAACCAGCCTGTTAGTTCAGCATGGCTCCTGTGTGTGGCCTGGATTTCTTTCCA